AGTTGGGGGTGGGCTACTGGTACCTACTGGGTAGAGGCCACATATGCTGCTAAACAGCCTGCAATGTACAGGGCAGCCCCGATAGCAACGGATTCTCCAGATGTCCCATGTGCTGTGGCTGAGAAACTCAGCTCTAGACTTAAAAAAACGAGACTCAGACCTATTCAAGGCCATTTGACGCCAACACTTTTGGGTCTACCCACTCCCCAGTATAACTTCTCTTCAAGGGGGATAATGGATAAAAAGCTTTATGAACTTTCAAATATTTCAGAAAATAAGGGAGGATTAGCTGACAAAAGACGACAGCCAATTTAAAAGTGCGTATTCCACAACTTGCTCTAACATTAAATGGAAATTACAGGAAAAGATTATTAATGGATTTCCTGCCAATAAAACCCTCAGTTTGACAAAGAAGAATGTATGTTAGTTTATTAAACAAGAGGAGCCTCCAAAGCAGCAGGAATTCAGTTCAGGTTACACAGGAAGAATTATATCACAACCAGATTGGTTTTCTTCTTCTGAAAGCCCCAGTCAGAAAACAGTTTGGAGCCTAGAAGTCGTGTAAAAACTAAAGGAAAACCAGGGATTCCTCCCATGTTTACAATGCAGCTGACTGAAGAGCTGCGTGCAGGGGAGCATTTACCTTTTTTCCGTGATGGGGCATCCCTGTCTACCTCATCATCTTTCTTTTTATTTCCCAAGTCACTGGTGTTCACGGTCACCGTTGCCTTGATTTCCTGCTGGGCCACCTTCATCCGGTCATAGAAGACCTTGAAGAATTTCTCCGACTTCTTATCTTCTGTCAGCCGGCAGAAAAAGGAGTGCTGCCAAGGAAAACCCACAGCTTTTTCAACACTGTGACACACCAGTTACTGAATCCCACTCAGGACACCAAAAACTCGTGGAGATCAGAGCCAGACACAAAACCTCAAAAACGGTCTAACTTTGGACCAGGGTTAAACACCGTTCAATGCACTGTCATTCTCTGGCTTCCACAGCCTGAGGTTTTCTACACAGAGTCTTTAAAGCAAAATGCCATTCCTTGGCTGAATCAGTCATATAGGCTTGGGAAGCATGCTAAGGGGTGGTGGGCAGATTTCAGCCAACGAAGCACAACCCCCTACACACATATAAATCAACTCCACTAACAATGGAAACAGAATGTATTTTTGGTGATTGTTGCAGGGCCAGTCATGTGTTTAAGGACTTCTATGAGCCCTCCTCTTTGCAAAGCCTTGTGAATATATACAGATGAGTAAGACGTGCTACCTGCCCCTATAGGGCTCCATACCAGGTTAGCATGACACGCCCATAAGGAGGGCTTATATGTGTAAAACATGCTCCAGAAGCTACACAGACAATTATATTATAGAGGCTCAGAGGTGGCAAGGATGACATTGGGCTGGAGTGATCCCAGAATCGTCGTGAAAAAAGTGATTTTCGGATCAGGTTTTAAAGGGCAGGTAAAGGGTGATTAGATGAAAAAGCCAACAATGAACAGGTAGCTCGCCTCTTGAATACACATCTGTTTTTGGACCCACTGCAAGCAATAGTATACACTGTTGATATAAAAACACAATATGGTATCTCAACTTCATTTGTGAGCACTCTCTTTTCACCCCTTTGCAAATACCACGCTGTTGTGAATTATTTACATAAAACTACAATACGGTCAATTTCCAGAGGAATAAAACAAAGCTCCAAACAATATATTTGCTTCTCCCAGTGGGAGCTTTCTGCCAATTTCATATCCCCCCCCATTTGGAAAGATGGCACTTCCCTACAGAAGGTAACCCTAGGCTTGCAATCCCAGAGAAAAGCAACATCTTACCAGCCTCATGAAGCCCCTTAACTGCTCCATCTCTCACCCCCCCACACCCAGTGCTTGATTCAGCGCCTGCCCCCGCCCCGACAGCCACCACGTTTCCATCTGCCAACATGCAACTTCAGTCACTGTGACCCTTCTTCTAGCCACTAGCCCATATGCTGCCCTGACAAATGTCAGCCTCATTTGCCCACCAAGCTCTTCTTGATCGTGCCCTTTCTTTTCCCTCTCCCTGTTCTTCTTTACCTCTGGCTGTTTCTTAAACACAGCACAGGATCCAGCCTTCCTACTTGTGCTCTCTGGTTCTGTCTTTTCTCTTCCAGCCACTCCCAAATGCCAGTTTACAAGTCACTGCCTGCCTCCATCCTGTGTGTCACTGAGTCCTCCAACACTCCCACTCTGGGAACCAAGCTCGAGCCTTCAGTGTGCTCCACTGCCCTTTGCTTCCCCCTGTTTTCTTTTAGGCTTCTAGTTCGTCCATCCATTCAACCGGCATTCCGTTTGTCCATCTGCCCATCCACTATTTACTGTGCGCCTGCCATGAGTCAGGGATTACGCCCATTATAGGAGAAACAATGCTCAGCAAAAAGAGGCCTGCGCCCCGTGAAACTGGTGGCTTGGTAGGAAAAAGACACAGTCATTCAACAGTCACGCTAATGACTTTCACTAAAGTAGCCTTTTAACCACTGAGTCCACAGAGTGCTGGCAAACAGCAGCAGACACTCAGCACCACCGCCCGGTTCCTCCTGGCTCTTCCCATGGCTGGGGTCCCCTCATCTGTCAGTCACAGCATTAACATCACTTCCTCCAGAGAACCACCCCGACCATCCTACTAACAGCAGCCACACCAGCTGTTTATCCTCACACGCTCTGTTTTATTCTTCATAGCAAGCGGCCCCTGAAACGACACCTGTATTTACTGTTCACCTACTTAACTGTCTGTCTTGGGCAGAGTGTAAGCTCTAAGAGGGCAGGAGCCTCGCCTACATGGTTCACAGCTGTCGTCAGAACACCCAGAAGAGGCCCAGCACATAGAAGGCGCTCTATAATGATTTGATGAAAGAATGAATACAACTCGACACTTTATGGCTCCTCTTGACTCGCTACACACACCCCCCATCAGATCCGGCCACGGGAGAAATAAATTCCCATCATACTGTAGATTCTTATTTCTCATATCCTCTAATGTGAGAAACCAAGTTCCAATTGTTCACTTCTTTGAGGGCCAGCGCTTCCGCAGACAAACAAGACGAGGTGTGCGGCGGACGAAGACCTCAACCTAGAGCCACCTAAATACAGCGATTACATTTTCCACCAAGAGGCGTCACACAGCGTCTCACCCACACGGGGTCAGGAGGGGACTGCACAAGGAGGCGGCTGCTCGGGGCAATGAACTTCAGTTGCTGCCCCTTAAGTCTTCTCATGGCATGGAGGCAACTGAAAAAGCATCCTTGGACATTCCGGTCATTCAAGAAAACAAGTGCACTTTAATAAGTAAATAAATAAAGAGCCAAAGCCTGCCATGTGTCATCGGGAAGAGCGTGAGAGTACACACCCATCACCTGCTACAAATGCACTGCTTCAGGTCTAGCTGGTTAACCCAGCCCATGTCACCTGATAGGGTCAGGGCGAGGACACCTCTTATAAAACGAGGGAAAGGCAAGGCACTGAGGATTACAGGCTTCTACATACATTTCTGCAACGGCCAGTATATTTATTTTGCACTGTTTGTAACAGTCCCCGTCCCTCAAGGATTTGAAGCTGCTTTATAAACAGAACGTGGTCAGTAAAACGATAGAGTGGACAGCGGGGTACGGTGACATGAGTAAGCACAGAAAAGCGACATCAAGCAAGGATGGGGGCTGGAGGATGGGAGAGGTGATTCCGGGAGTCTTGGGCTCGGCTCCGAGGCACCCGGCCATCACGCTGAAATGAGAGGCCAACTCCATCACGCCTCTTAGTAAGAAGCAAGAGGAGAGATACCACCAGTGCTTTGAAGCAAGGAAACATCTCTTCACGGAGGGGTTAGTGGGGCAGGCTTTCCTGTTGGACTTCCCGGGTCCAAGGCTGGGGTCCCTCATCCACTGGCTCTGTGACCGTGGGCAAATTACTCAACGTCTCTGAACCCACGTGGAAGGGCTGCCAGAGTGCACATCAGGTGCTTAGCACAGTGCCCGCTAAGTGTGTTGGTTTCACACTGCCATGACATTAGTATCATGTGAAAACCCCACAGCAAAGGCATCACCCAAGCAGCTAAGTGGCGAGAAGGGTCAGAAAGACCGGTCTTCAGCTCCACCGCTCACTAGCTGGTGTCACCTCAGAAAGTGACGACGCCTCTGAAACCCCAATCTTCTCATCTGCAAAATGGGCACTGTAACAGGGTGTACCCTTCACGGGTGGTTATGGAGACCCGAGATAAGCATAGTAACACTCCCAACAGCTGACCTGACGAGGTGCCGGGAACCTGTGGTGAACCTTCGTGCGTCTCACCTCACACACAGCTCCTGATGAAGCAGTTGTTACTATCACTCCTTTTTGAGATCAGGAGACCCTTTTGGGTCTTTCAGATAATGTGCATCAGGTGTGGAGCATGCCCGAGAAGCCCACACTGTGACAAATGTCGTCTTCCCAGGATGCTGTGAGAGGCACGGGCCTGGGAAGTGGCAGAGCAGCAAGGAGGGGTGACAGCGGGGCTGCAGGGGCCCCAACTGAGAAGCTCAGCAAACGCCCTAGAAGGAAGACATCTGGGCTCCAGAGGGGAAGCGCTGGTACCTCGTACGGGAGGAGAAGTGAAAACGGAGGCATGTGCAGGAACTAAGGACCCCCGGTCCCCAATCAGGGGCTGTGCCGGGGGAAGGCATAGGGGCCGTGGAGCAGGCCGGGGCCAGGGGCTCCTGGAGACCCTCGCTGCCCCTCCCTGGTGCCTGGTGTCATCTGGACTCGGTGAGACCAGGCCCTGAACATGGCTCACAGACCTGTTCATTCCACCTGCTTCCGTCACAATGTGCTCGGAGGACCTGCGGGTGGGAAGGGGGCGCCCTCCTCAGGACTGTTTCCCCAGAAGCGGGTGGGACCTCAGACCAGAGCAGGTGGGGACTCGGCCCTGACCCGCCTCAGGCTCTTCATGGGCACTGGTCTACCTCCCTCCATGGGCGTATTTCAGTGAATCACACCCCAACCTCCACCCCCAAAACCTAGAGCCAAGAGCCATGGAGAGACTGTTTCACTTCTCCAGACTTTTCACTCCACGCCACCCAGCAGGTTTGAGCACCGCCTTCCAAATAAACCTGGTCTAGAGCAGGCAACATTAGTCCCAGGTAAGAGGAAGCAAAACGGGGGGCGGGTGAATGGGAAGTGACTAAAAGGGAACCAAGAGAACTTTCTGGAGTGAAGAAAATGTCTTGATTGGGGTGGAATTCACACAGGTGTGGTAGAGAGAATAATGCGCCCCCATCCCTGAAAAGATGTCCAGACCCTAATCCCTGGGACTTGGGAATATGTCACCTTACATGGCAAAGGGGAATAAGGTTGCAGATGGAATTAAGGTTGCTAACTTTAAAATAGTGAGATTATGCTGGATTATTCAGAGGGGCTAGTGTCATCACAAGGGTTCTTAAAAGTAGAAGAGGAGGGTAGAGTGATATGGTGTGAGAAGGACTCCACTCGGCGTTGCTGGCTTTGAACACGAGGAACGGGCCATAGCCCAGGGGCCTCTAGAAACTGGGAAAGGCGGGGAAACGGATTCTGCCCCGGAGCCTCCAGGAAGGAATGCAGCCCCGCTGACACCTTGATTTTAGTCTAGTTAAGACTCATGTCGAATTTGTAAGATAAAAAATCTGGCTGTCTCAAGCCACTAAGATTTTTGTAATTCGTTACAGCAGCCAATGAAAACAAATACGATAGGTATAAACATTTGTCAAATCTGATCAAAGTGTACACTTAAAATCTCTACATATTATTGTATGTAAATCACATCACAATAAAAAGGAAGAGAAGGGGGAAAAAAACTGCTTTGTTACCCGAAGGCTAGAGAACTTTGTCAAGGCTGTCCAGACAAGGGGCCACCCTCAGAGGCCATCTCCCCCGCCCTGCAGAGGGACCTGCGTCTGCCGCCCTCATGGCCCATCTTTCTTCACCCTCTGCTTATCTCCAAATCGCATATGATTCCAAAGCCCTCTTCACGTAAGCTGTCTCATGAGCGTTTTAGGAGATTGTCAAGACAGATCTCACCATTCATAAGTCCATCACGTTAGAGACAGGAGAGCTGGGGTCAGGAGAGGTCAGCTGACGTGTGGCAGAGCCACGCCCGCTCCCTGCCTCTGCACTCAAGGCCCTGTGCACCGCCTGCCTTCTTAGTGATCACACGGAACACCAGCCCCAGTGATCGGCAGGCAACTCTGAAAAAACGAGGGTGGGTTTGCGGGCAGACACAGCATCAATGCCAACATCACGGACAACAGGTCCATGTTTGGAGTGGCCTCAGTGAAGGAAGCCGGGGTCGGGCCAGGTGAGAAAGTGACCACCTGCAGCGGCCACCTCCATGGAAGCTCTGGGGGACAGAGGTGGGAGGGGACCCAGGTATGGCCACTGTAAGCCAGGGTTAAAAACAATCCCCACAAAACAGAAAAGACGGATCCCAGAATGTTAAAGCTGGAAGCACCCTATTCCAGACACTTCCAGATGTTTTTCCCAGCAGGGAAACCCTGCTTCTCCTCCATCCCCTAACACCACCTTCCATAAGGACCCGGATATGAGAGAGATACAGGCAGAACTGCTCAGCCTGAAACACAGCAGGGAGGACGCCCCTCGCATCACTGCAACTCCTCCTTGCAACGCCAGGGCTCCACAGGACGTTGTTTGGGAACTACCCATTTAGTCCAGCCCTACACATTTTACAGAGGAGGAAACTGAGGCCCAGAGGGGGAAACAGACATCTCAAGGCCACACAGAGCCCACGTCTCCTGCCTACTCGAGCCAGTCCCTTTGCCCAGGCTTGGTGGTGGCTGGCTGACACAGCAAGCAGCTCGGATTTCATTCCTGCTCTCAGCTAACTGTCAAGCGGACACAGTTTGCCCTCCTCGGGCTGCGTGAGCTGTATGGGGACTTAAGAACTGAGGTCTTAGTTTAAAATAATAAGGAGACCACACTTTCAGATCACTCTTGAAAATAATAAGATATCCCTTAATTAGCCTGGCAGCCACCCTCTGTGCCCAGCCAAGTCCTTGCAAAGGAACAGAGCGTGATTTATGAGAGGTCCACCCAGCTCCTGAAACCAGAGGCGGCCCGAAGTTAGGGACCAGCAGACAACTGGCAGCTCCTCTAAACAACAGGCCGGAAGTGTGCAGGATGGGGTGGGGGGACTCCTTTCTTTAGGTGCAAGAGGTCACACTGTGCAGGATGGGGTGTGGGGAGAAGAATGGGAGCCACGGGGCTTCGCCATGCGCTGAACACACAACAGGGAAGGTGGGCGAATGAGCACCTTATTGAAAAGCCATCTTCCCCAGAATTCAAAGACTTGGGGGAAGGAGGGCAAAGACAGTCTTGGAACCTTGGAACCCAGAGCCAGCCAGCCAGCCTGCACCTGCAGGGACACGGGAGGAGCCCTTTACGAGCATCTCAGATAAAGGAAGTGGCAGCAGCAGGAAGCAGAGGTGGATGTGATCCAGGGCAGGTCTGGCGGGAGAGGGGACGGTATGGGGGGAGCAGTCCCCAGCGCTCCTGGGACAGCTCTGAGACTTTGATCCTTCCCCAAAGGAAAGCATTTCACCCGGCAGCAGTCCACCTTCTAGAAACCCTCACACTGAGCCTTCAGAGACTCCAGAGAATGAGCTTTTCTATCTGACTGCCCGGTACACAGCCCATGACATTCGCTCTGCGTGCTCTCTTCTCTGCTGCAGAACGAATTAAGTTCTCAGGCTAAAGGCAAGAATTTGAAAAATGTGACTGCCGCACAGTGCCGAATCCTTGTGCTTCCAGGAGCAGATGGAAATTCCTCCCTGGAGTCTGACTTTTTCTCTTTTTACTCTGCCTCTGGCACAATGGGGACCTCGACCTCAGCCCTGGAGTCTCCAGGACTTGAAGGGATGTCTCCAAACAGACCAACCCATTCCTGTCCAGCTTGTTCAGAGGCTCTGCGGGTGACAGAGTGACAGCAATGGCTACCCAAGTGTGGGGCTTAGCTTGTGGGGTTCTCCTCCTGTGATTAACTGAGCCTTCCATCCCTTCCTGGGGACTCCTGATCTGTAAATTACAGTGAACAATAATTGAAGCCTTCTGATTTGCTTGCCACCTACCTAAGTGCTTTGTATACAGTATCTCATTTAACCCTTCTAACTACGCCATGAGGTAGGGGCTACCACTATCCCCGCTTTACAGATGAGGAAACTGAGACTCAAAGAGGTTAAGTAACTTGCCAAGTCATACAGCTAGGAAGTGGTGGTGGTGCCCCAGGACTCAAGCCCCACTGGTCTGACACCTCAGCCCATGCTCTCAACGCCCCTGCTTTGTTCAACACCTCTCACCTAAGCAAGAGTGTGTCAAACTCCAAACACCTTTTGGCTTTTTATAATGCACTCCCTACCCGCCAGCCCAGGTCTCTCAGCTGCACAGCAGAGAGTCTCACAGACTCTTCTCACAGGAAAGAACAGCCATGGTAGGAACACATGTGAATGCCCCAACTTTCCTGCAAGGTCTGATGCTCTTGTTAACCTGGGCTCCCAAACAAGGCTCTTTTGCTAGTTGAAGCTTTGCCGGGGCTGGGGGTTACAGGTTGTTCACCGAACCACTGTCACTCAATGACCACCGTAGGTCTTGAGTCCCTTTCTTAGAAACCCATGACAACAATCAAAACCCAAAGATCATGTACCAGGAACCAGGTGATAAAACACACATGCTTTAGGCACAGGAGCCTGGAGAATTGCAAGTCTGGAAACCTGAATTTTAGCCATTGCTCCTCGATAACCAGCTACGTGAACTTGGGCAACTTGCTTAACTGGATTTGTGCCCTAGGTTCCTTATCTGAAAAACATGACTCTTACCACCTGCCCTGCGTGCATCACATGGAGGGGGTCCATCAAGGGTGCAGTTATGAAACACTACGTGAAACGCACTTTGATTACTACGGGAAGCTACTCAAATGCAGGGTGTATAATCTATCAATACCACTTTCAAAGGAAATCAGTTAGCAGGTAAGATAGGTGGATTGACTAATGTGCTGGGTGTTATGTGATGACCAAAGTCTAGTGTCCCCAAAACATCCAAAGATAAACAAGCCCTGCTCGTACTGGTAGGTCAAGACGGCCTGTAAACTGACAGCAAAAAACACACTGAAGAGCCTTTCCCAGTAACTGTCACAATGAAGGAAGTTAAAAAAAAAAAAATCCAGCTGGAATTCCACTAGTCATAGACGCCACTCAGATTCCGTTAGACACAGAGACAAATGTTATTGCTTCCACTTCTCAAAGTGTAATACACCCAAGGCAGAATGGTGTCAGACCCTCCCCCGGACAGGCCCAAGCCTTTCAACATGAACTGTTTTTCCAATATTTTCAACTACTCTTGACTTCAGGAAAAGTATGATATTTGAAAAGAATCTAATAATTAGTGAAGAGGGCATTAAGAATCAAACACTCCCCCGGTATAAATGATCACTCACTCTAAGGACATTTTTTTAGCAAGGTTTGATGGGTTTCAACCAGTAAACACCCGCAAGTCTCAGCTCACCAGTGTCTCTGAGGATGTTGCCAGCTTTAATGAGCTCAGAAATAATATAAACTTTAAACAGAAAAGAAGGAAGTGATGAAGTGAACGAAGTATGGGTTGTAAAGGCACTGACATTTCAACTTCATTTTTCTGAAAAGAGTTCCTCCCTCATCGAAACTGTAGAGCCATCTCTTGATAACTCAGACATAAACAGCATGCTTCATCTCCTCTTCCCTGCCAGGGCTGGACGGAGGCCACCGTCTGCTCATCGCTGATTCCCAAGGCCTGAGAGAGGGGCTGGAGGACGATGAAGACCAAATTAATCTGGACACTGGGCTCCAGGGAAGGGCCTGAGCTCCAAGGTCAATACCAAAGCACTGGATCTTCATGATGCTTTTCAAGGTGAGTTAATTCTGATTTTAGCAAGCAGCAAAGTCCCACCTGTTGCCTAAGAACCACTTTTCTTCTGAGACCTGAGAGCTTAACACCTCTCCTTACCTGTCCCCCGGGGCCCACAGGAAACAGCACTGGCCAAGAAAGTCTGCCTGATCTGGTAAGCAGTCTGGTCCTCCCTCTCCCGTGTAGATCAGAACACGGACAGCTTCTCACATACTCATCCATGACACCTCAACCAACAAACTGTACTTCCGAAAAAAAAATTTTTTTGAAAGTGTTATCTTACAAAGCCCCTGTATGTGTAGGTAAACTGTCAGCAATAACATCTCTAGCAATATTTAAGAGTAAAATCACACAGATTTCAGGGAGGCAGCTCAGCCTTCATTCTAGAAGACCCAGGGACAAGAAGTTAAGGGGACTCCAAATTTTCTCTGAGTTCAATTCTCAAACCTCCTTACAGGAGCCAAAGGCCAGCATATTTTGTGGGGTGCACTGGCACAGCCGTCTGTCCCTTCCAGCCAAAGGCAGGAAAACAAAGAGCCTCCAGAGAAAAACAATGATGACCAGTTAAGTGGGAAACAGAAGCAACCCCAAATTTCCCTGAAGTGACGGGAGATTGCGGCAGGGACCTCCTTGGGAAATTTCTTTAAGTACAAGAAGGTACTGTAGTTGCTCTTCAAGCCAACATGAGGTTTATAAAAAAGAAAGGCACTGTGAAGCAGACGAGACTTTGGTTAGACCTCAGGGACGACTTTTGTTAAAGTACTCAGGGAGGTTTTGGAATCTCGGTCTACAGACATCTACTCAACCAGAGAAGAAGAAAATCAGTATCAGTGAACGTCTGGGGCTGCTGGAGACGCACACTAGTCTCCAAGGGTGACCTCCAGGACTGGTTCTATGATTTAACGAAAGTGCCTTCTGGTGGTTCAGGTGACACTCTCAGGTCTCGTGTCAGCTTGCCCACAGCCTTGCTGCGGGATCTGTGACAGGGGGACAGAGGCCTTCTCATTGAGGCTCCAGTGTGTATCATGAGACCTGAAAGGAACCATGCAAGAGGTGCTGCAAAAACTCCATCAGCAAGAAACGCACCCCAGGCGTCAGCAAAGGAGGGCTCAGGTGGCTCCCCCGCCCAGAACCTAGGGGCGACGCGGCTGCTGTCCCTTCCTGCTTCACTTGGGGGTTCCATCCGCGTTATCAAGAAAGAACTGACACAGGAGTCGGAGGATAAGACCTTCGCTCTTTGGTCTTATTTCTATCCTGGGTACCTGAGGGCCAATCAATCAACACTAACGGACATTTTCTGCCCTAAAATCACCAAGGTTCCCAGGGGCATCCAACTTGAGCTTTATGTCGACGTCAAGAAGGATCCTTTGCACACCCATTCTCTGTGTTTGTACGGAGAGCAGCAGGGGTTCAGAGAAAGGGCTCCACGTCCTGCACACTCAGCGAGGTACAAACAGGTAGACAGGGGTGGCTGAGGAACTGGGCGGGTATGGACAGGGCATTTATTAACCTGCAGCCTCGGTTTCCTCATTTGTAACGGAGAGAGGAGGAGGGGAAGTGCCACCCAAGAGGCCTGGAGGATGGAATCAAGAAGGTAACAGTGCAAGCCCAGCACAGGGCCTGCACCTGGTAGGTGTTCTGTACCAGATACTTTTCCTTCCCCACTCTCAACAAACCGAACTGTGACACACCTGCTCGACGGATAACATCCAAAAAGAAATAAATATACCCTGGCCTGTCGGGGGCAAGGACGTTGGCTGGCAAACGCAAAACATCAAGCAAAGCGAGCGCCTTCTGACGGAGGGCTCACCATCACCCGCTGTCCTCTGCTCGATCAGATGACCTCTCAGGTCTCAGTCCTGGTCTGAACCCCAAAGGACACGCTCCAGGACTTTCAGTCCTCCCAACCCAGCAGGTCCATTTCACTGGGTACTGGCCCATCAGGGGGCCCATATGGCTGCAGAGAACATCCTTGGGATCCAAGAGTAAAACGTACAGATGGCCAGACGGATGGAGATGGCGGATAAAATTACACAGCACTCATCTGTGTAAGTGCTGCTTAACAGATTATGGCTCTGACATCGGTAACGTGTATCCAAGTAGGTTACAGCCTGAGCCAACTTGGTGCCCTTTAGAAGCACTGACTAGGGCTTGGCAGGGGCCGTGGAGATCACCTAATTCAGCCTCCCACCTGACGAGAAGCTCAGTACCTGGGTCGAGCAGTGATCTCATGCCCCGCGCCCCTGCCCCCCCCCCCCCCCCCCCCCCCCCCCCCCCAGTGCTATGCTCCAACCACGCTGGCTTCCTTCAGTTCCTGCCAACCCGTCTGTCTGAACACTCCTGCCCTCTGCTCTTCACGCCACTTGTTCTCTTCTCGTCTGCTAAGTCTGGGCTTAAATGCATCTCCCTGGAGAAGCCTCCTCTGACCACCCTAAGTGGCCCCTCCATGACACTCTTCCCTCTTCACGCTTCTCCCTTATTTGTTAACTGGCTTACAATCCATCTCCCCTGCTAGACTATAACCTCCTCGAGGGCAGGCCGTCTATGATCTCAGTCCGGACTGTGTCACGGCCACCTCATCCAGTGCCCGGCACCCAGCAGGGGCTCCATCAATACCTGCTATCTTAATGAACGCACAGTAGTTCTGAAGGACGTGCAATCCTGCAAAACTTAAATCGAGTCCAGCTTTGCATCTACGGCAGCTGAAGTTTAACTCAATAACCAGAAGATCCCTGTCCGTGAAAGCTCAAAATCCTGCCAAGCGGGGAAAACGCCGAACGCCAAAGGCCAGCTGAAGGAGGCTAATGTGGCATTCTCACCTCTCAGAGGCTTATCAGGTTTGTGCCCAGGTCTCTGCGATGGGCTCAGGCTGGCTGGGGATCCTAATCCAACTAGTTCACTGTTAACTACTCTGGCCTCGCTGACACTTGCATTATGAAGGTGGGGCGGGAAGGACAATCATTCGTAGACCTTCCATCTCAGAACCTGGCTCACACCCCTGACTTCATAACTACAAGTTCGGGGCTGAACAGTTTGTGGGCTTGTGTTGCAAGAAGGCTAATGAAAACACATTTTTCAAACACCGTATGGTGAGGGCAACTGAAGCACCCTCCTCCTCCAACAGCAATCTAAATTTTTAAGTCCTGAATTCAAAGGGAAACGAGTGGCTTGAAGATATCAGATGGTTTACAGGACTCTCCCCTTTGGCATCTGGGACATCTTGATGACAAATTTAAAACCCAGGCAAAGGTAACTGGGAGAAACATCAAGAGAGGCTCTGACACTTTCACAGAGGAACTTAGAGGACTCAGGAAAGGCACGTGGGCATGGATTTCTCAGTAAGAAGGAGGGTCATGGCAGAGGTGCCGATGCCAGCTGTGAATGTCACTTAGGTTCTCAGTGCGCAGGGTCCAGGCTTGTGAGTGACACGTCTTTAAGGCCCCCACGGCAGGACTCTAGCCGCTGACAGTTTCTAATGAGAAAGTATTCTCAACCATGAAGTTAGCTCGACTGGAAAAGTTCCAAAGGGAAAGTCCCTCCAGTTACTCAGAAGGGGGGAAAAAAAGTTGCCTTCTTGGTCTGGAATCTGGGGATATTTTATGCAGATGGCTCTAACAGAAGTTACTAAGGGGAAGTCAGCTCGCCTTTGATTATTCAAACAGGCTACTGTTATTAAGAATTGCACAACTCTTGGGCAAGGCAGGGGTGGGTTTCGGCTTTGTTTTTTTTTAAGCCTATCCTCACGGGAACTACTTATTCTTTTCGAAGAACATTTCATTATAACCTCCCTAACTCACGTCATTTAAATGTCTCTGCTCTGGTGGGAATGTGACCGGCAAGGCAAAGCCATCAGAGCAGCCAGGGTGCAGGTGGACACCCCCGGAGCTGCCACCGGGGCTTCTCAGGAGGGCACTTCTGCTTCCCTGCTGAGAACTAGATGCAGCAGCCACTTTTTTTTAGTGCAGGTTGAGTAATCCCAACCTGCAGCCTTCAGGTAACAGAAGTTGCCCAAGCTCCAGGAATTATCACTGTGGGACAAACGCCTTCCTTTGTTTTCATGTGGTTCCACCTTATAATGTGCTAGATGAGATAAGAGCTGTCACCCCACCCAGGGCAAGAGCACAAGGAGGATTATGGAAATGCCAACAGCCCTCCTTCTGTGGGGCAGAGCGATGGTCTGTCCAACAGGCAGTGGAATCCATCTAGCTCAGGGCCAACCCGAGAGCAAAGGGTAAGCTTCTATCGGATGAGCTTGAAGACTCCCAGGACAGGTCCCTATAATGAAGGGACTGGTAATAAAGAAAATCATCCTAGGAAAAGAAACAGGTGAGGGCGGGAGAAAAGACACCTCAGCCGAAACCCTTCTGATGTCTTAGAGCTACACAATGGGGAACTCTTAGGGGCAAAAGGAAAATATTCTGTTTCTGGAGACAGCTCCAAGAATACTGAGCTAGGCGTGAGAAACAAGCAAGCTGATGGATTGGAGGGAAAAAAAGAAAGAAAAGAAAAGGTGGGGAGAAGAAGGAGTCAGGGAAGGGGGAGCGAGATGGCTGAGAGACAGGGGAATTAAAGAACACCATGGCAACAAGTCTGTCCACCTACCCTGGCCGCCCACCCACAGCCAGATTCTTTGCTGACGCACTTGAGAACAAGCTGGTTCCTACCAGCTCAGGAAGGTGAGCAAACCCGGAGAGCTCGTTAAATCCCTTCCCATCGACTCTCATCTGCCTGCAGATAATGAGCAAGGAGGATATAAATAGAAGTTATATAACATCTCTTTGTTGATTCCTGTGCTTACCAAAAAAATGCAGCATGACCTTGTTTTTTTTTTTTTTCTGCAGCGTTTTCTTCAGCCTGCGGGTTGAGGACTTTAAGCCAGTTAGGGATCATCTTAAAGTTTAAAGAGTAGGCTATAGATTTCCACATTAAGGACGCTCAGGAGGATCACCCAAGCTCGGAACCCTCAGGATCAAGGCCTCCTCAGGTATCAAAAAAAAAAAAAAAAAAAATCTACTTGCTGTAGAATAAAACTTTAAGGAATCCTGTGGCATCCTCTGAGGACATTTCTGATGATGCCAGGAGTTGTATTAACACCCAAGAGCAGAGAACCGTGTGAAACCAAATACATGACTTGGGTTTTCAAAGGAGGTCAGAGCACTCAAAATACATACATTTAAAGCCAACTGATGGTTTCTAAATACCTCCAGGAAGATTCAGTTGTCTTTTTCTTTCTCAACAGGCAAGACAGTAAGAGTCCAGTGGAGGGCTTCCCTGGTGGCGCAGTGGTTGGGAGTCCGCCTGCCGGTGCAGGGGACGCGGGTTCGTGCCCCGGTCTGGGAGGGTCCCGCATGCCGTGGAGCGGCTGGGCCCGTGAGCCGTGGCCACTGAGCCTGCGCGTCCGGAGCCTGTGCTCCTCAACGGGAGAGGCCACAACAGTGAGAGGCCCGTGTACCGCAAAAAAAAAAAAAAAAAAAAAAATAGGCCTCCTCCTTCGGGAGGCCAACAGAGGTGAGAAGTGCAGAGGGAAACGCCAGCGGGAGGCCCTGAGATCTACCCCAACCCGGTCAGAGTCTCCAGCGCTGCCGGGGCTCCTGGACAGACTCTGGTTCTGACATCTTCACCGGGAAGTAGCTTTAAAGGAGCGTGTGCTTACAAGCTGTGCTGCTGAACCCCCATTACTCTGCTATCTTGTCTAACCTAGTGATGCCACAAGACTCTTTCAAAAAACTGTTACCATGGGAACTTTTCCCTCTCAAGCATTTTTCAAGAAATGTTACAGGTGCTGCAGAATTCAATGCCCTTGGTCTCAGTAAGCATTTTCTGAGTCTTTGAACGTGTGGCTTCAACCGAGAGGACTTTCAAACCCATGATGCAAGGGTTTTGAACATAAATCTCTTCAAGGGATGGGGTTAATCACACAGGGCATGGCTATGATGGCCCGAGGCCCCACTAGGCACGCAAATTCTGAACCACAGGGCCTTTAACGCATCCTATCCGCTAAACAGAAGACCCCATAGGGATATAAGCAGCTCAGAGGGTGACCCCAATAAGGGATGCTGTGGCTATCATCCCTACCATGCGATTTCCCTTCTCATCAGAACTGGGAGGTGGTCAACAACACAACAAGGCATCCATCCAGGCAGGGCAAGAGCCACCATCCCCCACTGAACCCTTGGTCCTAGGTCAGCACATCAGCTCATCTCTCAACTGAGCCCTATTAGCCCAAGCCTTCTCCTCTTCTAAATTCCTGTGACGAAAACACCATCGACCTTCTATAATATAAACAGCGCAGATCTGGTAGGAACCAATACATCTTCCTGTCCCGACGTGGCAATGTTGCCAGGTAACAATGTAGAAACACACTCAGAAAACTGTATGTGACAATATACAACCTCCGCTCTGCAGCTGATAGCCGAGGGAGTGTTAAAACACCATGTTCTCTGAACACTTGGGCTCTTGGTGCGAAAAGAAAATTAAACGGGATATTTCCTCTTGTAAATATAAGACAGGCATACGACTCACACACGCAGCCACTAACTGCGAACAGTAGAAGGGTTTGCCGCAGCCATCTGCAATGCACCCCAGCTTTCACTCTCCTGCCCCTCCACTCCCCCCCAACATGGATTCCAGAAAACTAAGAGAAACGTAACCAAGCATGAGCCTTTCCTGTGTTAGGGACAAGTTCACCTCTGACCAGAGAAAGGACACCAGTGGCAACTACAGAAAAACTCATACCTTATTATAAAACTGGGCGTGCTTCCATCGTGTGGTTCCTAAGTTGACTTAGAGAATTCACTGCATGACCAAGCAGTGACCACTTGCTTCTCAGATCAAATAACTAGCGCTGCCTACCCGCTCCCAACAATGACGAGGAAGATGCAAAGCACCACAGTGGATGTAGGGCACTGATTAACTCCCTGGCATTGGACCCATGCAACTTCAAGGCTGTCCAGCATGGTAGAAAGTCAAGAGGTTTTGAGGGAGATAGACCAGGGTACCGAATCTCAGCTCTGCTAACTGGGTGACTTTGCGTAAGACCTCCCTCGATCTTTTGGGACTCAGTTTTCTCATCCAGAATTGGGGTTATCCCACCTAGCCCAGATCAAGTACATAGCAGCACCATGCGCTGTGCCTGCCCTGCAATGGGCACTTTATAAAGGCAACAAGTCCTTTCCTTTTCCTTCTGCAACACATAAACATTCTTCAACCTGCCCAAGACTCGAATATGGGGAGAATCCAGTGCATGGAGCTTCTTCATGCAAAATGGGCAAAAGATGAGCTCTAATAAGCCTCACATTACACCAAAGTACATATGCTCCTTTAGATGTAAGCGAAAATCAAAAATTGTAGCAATGTAATCTAACTTTTCTTAGGAGCCCTAATTCAATGAGCTGCCCTCTGTCTCCACGGAGAGGAAGTTATGCAAGAGACCTTCCTTCCCATTAACTTTCATGGACCTGAGACCTTGGAACCCGCTAGAGGGGAAGCAGCATGTGTGGCACATGTAATTTTTATTTGACAAATGAGATGCCCAGCCTGAAAGGTGAAGTCTTTCGTGGTTCTCTTCTCCGTCATGCACAGGCCGGTGATGTAACCAAAGCAAAGACACACAAGCCATCTCAGGACTTCTCTGGAAGGCAGACCGCCCTCCACAGTGAGCCCACTAGCAAAAAGAAGAACAAAGAGAGAGAAGCCACACATTCTACAGAGGGGCTGAGAGCTCAGGCTCTTCTCTATGTTTATTCATTACGTAGAGATCGAGTTCCCTTTACCCAACACATGCAGAGACTTCCCTGGGGAATGTGGGGTTGAAACAAACCCTGATACAACTACCAGCTAGCTCTGTGACCCTAAGCAAGCAACTTGACCTCTCAGATCCTCTATTTCCCGCTGAGCAAAAAGGGGTCCAGGCGGTACCTGCCCACACAGGACCACCACGCAGAGTAAATGAGATCATGCAGAGAAGGCACCAAGCCTCGCTCCTGGCACGTGAGCGCTCAGACTTTGGTACTCATTATTATTACCACCAACTATAGTTACTATAAAGAAGAAAAGAAGAAGGGAGAGATCCATCAAGAATCTCTGGCATCACAAGGAGATTTCTCCAGATTGACATTATATATTTCCCTTGGGTTCAGATAAACTTAACTCCTTCTCTCACATAAAGAAAGTGCCTCTTCAAAATTGTGATAACTGTTAACAACACATTTTCACATTTCACATCCTCATGCTTATATTGGGAAAAGAACAAGATGACGAACGTAACATGGTGGCGACACAGAGTCTAGACTTTGATTCATTCAGGGAGCATTTATTGAGCACCCACCATGGTCCAGGTGCTGGAAAGTAAGACTGAGGCTTGACCCTGGGAGAAATTACACTCCTGGGTGGGGGGAGGGGGAAGGAGAGGAAGACATACAACCAAAAAGAAACTGTGGGCAATCACTACGTATTAGGCACCATCCTGAGCTGCTGTGTGCTTTCCATATATTATCTCATTTAATCCCCAGAGGAGCCCGACAGAGCAGGATTCTCTACGTGTATTTGTTACGTACAGGTTGACTTCCCTTCATCCAACACATGCAGAGACTTCTCTGGGGAGCCTGGGGGTGAAGACAGACTTGATCTCTGCCTCCTCGGGTCTTACAATGAGCCTCCATTTCAAGAGTGGTGATTGCTGAGTAAATGAACTGCCCAAAGAGACCACTACTTCTGCCTCAGGAGATCAAGAAGTTTCCAGAGCAGGAGGCAATTTAAACAGGGCTCAGGGAGCGTGTGCCAGGCAAAGGGAAAGCGGCACGTCCCACACAGAGCAGAGGCATCTGAGTACACGGCCAGGGCCGGGCAAACGAGCAGGTTGCAGCCACAGGACAATGAACGCGGGGGTGAGTGTGGGAACCCAGGCAGGGCCAGGCACGTGGGCACCAGTGGATCGCAGCAACAGGGCAGTGGATTTGATCTTCCGTGGAACGCTGTTAGGACAGGGAATGAGGTGGTCCGGCCTTCATCTGGTGGGCCGGGGTGGGCAACACTGACAGCAGTATGGAAGAGAGAAATGTCCGGAGGCAGGGAGGCCTTGAAGAGCCCATCTCAGGCTCAGAGCTCAGATGGCCGTTCTGGCAGATGGTATAGGATGCTGGTCAGGGGCAGGAATTCTGAAGCCAGAGCGCCTCGTTTCCAACCCCAGCTCCCCCAGCCCCAGCCAGGTCACTTTGGGCATGTCATGTAGCCTCCAGGTGTCAACTGTCTGGCTCATTACAAGTCTGAACTAAGTTCTGACTATTAGAATACTGGGAGGTAGAGTAGACGCAGAATGAGTTCCTGATGAAAATCCAGAGGGAGGAGACGATGACATCAAGGTTTCCAGCTCGGGTGACTGCACAGGTGGCGGTGGGAAGTCCACTGACCTAGATACAGAACACAAGAAGGCCAATGCGGTGGAGGACTGGAGGTGATGGGCACACCTGGGGTCACGTGAAATGAGAGTTAACGCAGGTGGAGATGCCCAACAGGGATCTGCGCAGAAATCTGGAGATGATCACAGAGGTAGGGCCAGGAGCTGTTGGCATAAATGGTAGCTAGGAACCATGGGGATGGGTGAGGTCACCCAGGGAGCTTGGAGAAAAAGACGCCAATAGGCTGGAGACCAGGCGCCAGCATCTCACATATTTGAAGGTGAACTGTATGCGTCCCAAGGAGTCCCTTGTTCACCACGAGGAAAACCTCCAGAGGAAGCACAGAAATAGCACAGCGTCAGGCCATCAGGAAGTGACTGACGTAAAGTGTGGCACCCTGGGGTGGACGGTCAGACAGGGCTTCCAGATGAAAACTCTGGACTCCTGAGCCATGTATACAAATCCCCTCGGGAAGGAGCTGCCCAAGGCTGCCTTCCAAGTCTGCGTTAAAAAGTGCTAAGCAGGGCGATGGAATACATTCCCGCAGAGGCAGTAAAGGAAGAGGGGAGATCACCCCTCCAATCAAGAAAGGAAAGAAAAAGTAGAGGCCTCTCCCTGAATTTCCATTTATAAGCTGAGTAAGTGGCCAGACTCTCAGGGGACTTAGGATATTAGTCATCTGGTGAATATTTACCACAAACCTATCACTGCTCTCTACCAGGGGGTGAAGAAGACAGAAGAGAGGGATTAAGACTTGGTTCTTTTCCTTAAGCAGCCTCCTATCTCGACAGCAAAGATTCAACAAACACAGGGGCTGGTAGAGGTTTTCCATAAAGGTCCAAATGGTAAATATTCTAGGATTTGCCGGCCATTCGGTCTGCAGTACAACCCCTCAGCTCTGCCCCAGCA